TAGGATTGCTAGGAGTGGAGGAGAGGGCCCGGCTTGGTCTGTCACATCTCTTTAAGGCCCCAGATCCTGGGGGTGGGAGGAATAGGGTGGGAGAAGGTACAGTAGGAGGCCTGCCCATCCCAATTGGGCTTCTGATTCCATCTCCTACAGGCTTGCTATATGGGCAAAGGTGTTGGCTGAAGGGGTATGTGAGGGGCACCTGTCCCCCCCTGGGGCTTATTACAGATGCACGAGTGAGCTCCCCGGAGCCTCCAACCTGACTCTTCTTTGCTCTGGAGGCCTTTCTGGGGCTGCTCTCTCACTCCACAGGTGAGGTGCCACCCAGCGCTCTCCATGTTGATGTCTCTCCTGATGTCTTGTGCCCTGCATCCCTTCAGGCATGTGTGGCTACCTTGTTTCAGTGTGTGCATTTCTGGGGCTGGAAGTCCCTGGAGAGTTCCTTTGGTCACAGCAATGACAGCATCAATGACCAGATGACAGTTTTTCAGACAAACATGTGCTCCATCCTGGTGAGGAGGCCCAGGGGCTGGGGGACAAAGTTGAGCTTATGACCCCATGTTCACCTTTTACCATGAAACGCCCAACGGGACAGTGCACGGGCGCCCACGTTAACTTTTCTAGCTGCCACAATCAGAGAATAAAGAGACAAAGTTAGTTTTGACAATAGAATTTATTTAGCCCCAAGTAACCAGGTTATGGCCATTTCATTGTGTAATCAAGGTAGACATTGTTATGTGGTGGTTTCACACTTGTTCGGTACAATCTTCAAAGTCCAGGAAGGCCCCTGACACTGCAATCAGCCATGCTCCCCTGCTCAGGAGCCATGTATGGCCAGAGGCTAGTGTTTTGGACAGTATGGGTTCAGAAACACAGTCAATGGTTGCTCTAGAGTCAGGTAGTGAGACTGAGTGCTACTATCGACACCAGCTAATCTGCTGTGTGGTGCTGGGAGGGGCCCTTGCTCTCTCTGGTCAAACCTCCCAGGTCCAAGCACCAGTTCACTGGATGGGAATGCTCTTTGTGAGCAGCCTGTCCCCCATCTCACCCTCCACAACCATGTGATCCTCCATGACCATGTGGCATTTGTTTGCTTGCAGGCCCAGAAGAAGCCTGCTGTTCTCTGCGGCTTCCTGCTGGAAACAACCACCTTCATGAGAAGTAACTTGTCGAGGATCAGGATTGCTGCCTGCGGTTTGGCAGGTGAGTGGATGGATGTGTTCAGATTCAAGGTGGACCTGGAAGCCGCTTAGTCAATGCCAGGCCTGAATGGGAAGACAAGTGGCTGAGCTGGGAGCAGAGTTTTGGTCTACCTGGCAACACCAGGCCTGCTAGCCCGTGGGGTCTCTTGTCCGCCTGATTTTGAATGAGGGTGCTTACTATCAACTTCAGCCTGAAGAATATCTTCGTAAGTCAACCTGCACCTCTTGCAGGGACGAAGCACTGTGGGCCTGCTGATTTCTTCCTGGTGTAAGGAGACACTGTACATCTGTCATTTCAGGAATTAGCATGAAGCAGCTGTCTGCCCATTATCTGAAGAAGATGGACCTTGTGGGACTTCGGAATTGTTAAGTAGTGCAGACTCAGTTGTAGAAGTCTATGGCTCACTGACACTTTGAGACCATGCTGAGGGAGGGCCTGGTGACCCTTGGCCATGGGCTACTTGGAGAAGAGGGAGTAGCTCAACCTAGAGAGACAACTGAAGGTAGGGAGGAATTTCCAGGAGGACCATTTGGTAGGTGGAGTCCATGTCGACACCATTCTCAGATACTTCAGCTCCCTCTGCCCCCAAATTCCACAGCCAAGGCCTGTCCCTGTTGGTGATGTCAGGAGCCCCAACAGGTCTGTGGAGAGTGTGGGAACATGCGTCAGCTTACCTCAGTCTGCAGTGGGCTGAATGCAGTGGTCCTGACCAAAAGGCCTGTTCCTTTTCTCCCCACCCAGCTCTCCAGGACCTACAGCTAGACTCAGATGCTGCGGTCAGGAGGGCAGCCTTGGAGACTCTCAAAGTCCTGGACAGCTGCAATCAGCACTGGCTCTTGGCTTCACCCAGAGGACTGCCCTAAGTGGCCTTGATGCAAGATGTGAACTGCCTCATCAGTGTCCCACCTGCCCATAGCAAGGCAAATCATTTTTCATTTGTAGAAAAACTGATGTAAAAGAATGAGTATCCATCCCTCCCCTCCCACTGAAATACATCTCCACTTGCTCTCCGGAGTGCAGGCTCCTGGCTATATGGACACCACATCCCAGAGCCAATCATGGGGAAATGGGGAGCTTCAGCCCTGAAGGCCTTTTCATCCTCAGCTGAGCCTTTGTGGGTGTGGACATGCCAGAGCAAGGCATGGTGCCAGGCAGTAAGAAGTGAAACTACCATCCCCCCTGTCCCCAGGGACCTCATTCCTAAAGCAAAAGGCAGATGCATGCTTAGCTGATCATGACATTCTGGAGAGCTTCTCCTGGGAAGCAATGTTCATACAAAGCCTACTCTCGCCCTTCCCAGAGACCCAAGGTTACCAAAGAATGAATGGGCTCCTGGAACAGAGTCCATTAGGGCCTGGAACACAGTTTGGTGGGAAACAAAAGGGTAATTAGCCCCATGTCTAGAAATCTGGAAGGGGAAGAGGAGAGATCAAGGACAGACTTTCTCATCCTTGGGCTAGCAACAGAATGGTCTAGGCTAAGGCCAGGGCAGGCAAACATACTGAAGGCAGCACCTCCACTGGACAGATGCCCACCCAGTCCGAAGCAAGGCCTTGCTTGCTGAGGCTTCTCTTCAGGGTTCATTTTTTGCAGCTCTTTGGCTTCCACAGAGTAGACATGAAGTGCTGGTAGTAACAACTCTAGATGCACTTGCACATTGGACCAAGCTGTGCCTGGGGCTCCCCTCCTCTCTGTGTAGAGCACTTACAGGCTAAAAGGTAACCATCAGAACTGAGGGCAGTGTTCTGTTTCTGATGTGGATTTTCTTCTAAAAAGGAACAGAATTCAGAAAGAGTAAGAAAAGGTTTAAGCTCTCTAACTACTGTAAAATGTAACCCTGTATAATACCAGAAAACTAACAAATCACAGAGGTTATTTGTGATTTGTATAACACTAGACTGGTTCATGTGGACCCAGAGTAAACCAACTGAGGTGACTAGAATAGCCAGCGCTCTGAGAGCCCCATGAAAGTCAGGGTACCCAGGGTAGCATGCCCAAACTGAAGTCAGAGAGCAGACTGGGGTATGGGTCTGTGTCAGTGCTCATCAAGCATGGATGAAGCTTGGGTTCCATCCTTAGCACCTCAAAAAAAAAAAAAAAATCACCAAAGATGAAAACAAATCACATTTGTTGCACCAGCAAAGAGCACCAATGGGCATGAAGGAGTAGCTCTTACATTGCTGAAGTGGGCAGCCATTTACGAGTGTATTCGTCAGTTTGAAGGCAGAGTGTATCCATGGACTGTAAAGTGGTTTCTAAGAGGGTGCCACAAAGTGTTATATACATGCAAGGGTTGATCACAGCCCATGTCCACTCCTCAAGACAACAAGGACAGTAGAACGAACTACTTTGGATGTCAGAGCAGCTTCCTATCACTATCACAAAACACTCGAGGCTGGGCACTCAATCTATACAAAGGTTTAACTCAGTTTTGGAAACCCAAGGTCATGGAGTGGACAAGAGATCTGGTGAGGGCCTGGTGGCAGACATGAGAACATATGGGAAAGGAGCTGGCACCACTTCCAAAAAACAGGCAGAGTCAGGCTTGGGCTTTCATAACCACCTGGGAACTCAACAAGTTTCCAGGAGATAAGTCCCTAATCAGTCTGAGAAACTCACCCCAACCCACAGGTGTAGCCCTCTACTACTGTTAACACCCACACTCTTCTCACATATAAACCTTTGGGAGACACATCACAGTACCCACATATGCAAGTGCCTGTCAAAGCAAAACTGCAGAATATACAGTACTATTCATGTGAGTTAAAGCCACGGAAGTTATTAGCTGTTCCGTTCGCAGATCTTACATATTTGACGACCACCCTTGCCAAGGCCAGCTCACTTCCTTCCCCTAGGTGATACCTGACCACTGAGTTCTCAGGAAGTATCAGGTGCAAAGAAGGGTCTGGAGGTGCAGAGGCCACGCCTGCCCTGGAAGTGCCTCCATCTGCATGCACTGGCAAATTGTTCTGAGTGAACCATAGGCCTCCAGCAGGGTGCCAGATTCTCAGGTGATTTATTGCTATACCAACTTGAGTCCCTCAAACCAGAAGTCCTGAGCCTAGTGTAATATTGTCTGGAGGTGCAGGGTGTAGGCCAGGAAGGTTACATGGGACCCCACAATAGAAATGGCACTTTTTCTTTTTTGAGACAGGCTCTTACTCTGTAGCCCATGCTAGCCTTTCACTTAGTTATCCTCTTGCTTTAGACTCTATTCAGAGCCGGCACATCGGGCAAGAACCATGTTTTCACAGGATCTCTCTCCACCTCAGGAAGTGTCTATAGCCAGGAAGAAAGACCTCAAAAGAAATGGCTAAGCATGAACCGTCATCTCAGCCTTTTACCTTTAAAACAGTTTACTACTGGAAGCTTGGCTGTTTAAGCCACAGACCATGGTAAACTGCTAGGGTTGATTCACAGGTACTGTCAATGTGGTTCTGGCTGGAGACATGAGAAAGGGGGACAGCAGGAAACTTTCCAAGAGAGCAACAGGAGAAAACTGTGTCCTTCAATTTTACATTGAAAAAGGAAAAATCACAGGGCAGCAGCATACCAACAACTGTCGCTAGGTAGTTGGCGCATGGGTACTGTCGCCATACATGGAACATTTGAAAGTGCTCATTGAGAGTAGCCACTCGCAACTAGAAACCGCCTCAGTAGAAAGAGGCCTCGTGGGTGTTGCATGGCTGCAAGAACATTTGGAAATAATTCAGAATTGTTTCAAATACTTATTCTAAAAGCATCAAGACCTTGGAATTACTTCTTGAGGGTAAACCTCGGGCGGTTTTAGCTCTCTTAAATACTGGGCAGTCCTATTTACTTCAAGTATCATTTTGTCTGGGACTCAAGAATAGGGTTCATAAGCAAAACAAAATGTGGAGCATACTCCAGATGGCATGTCCAAATGAGTAAAGAAAAACTCGAGACAAACAGGTCTGCAGGGCTGACACTGAAAACGTTAACTCTACAACTTTATTTGTAAAACCTCACAAGGCGCTTTCCATGACCCCAACTGCCTTGAAGCTGCATTAAGGGCAGAAAGGTCAAACAGGGCCACACACAAGCAGAGGCACAGCCAACAGCCGTGGGGCAGTGTGATGAAGGTGCACCTGAGGCCAGTCTAGGTGACAATGACAGAGACCCCATCTAAAAACAGATTTAGAGGCAAGGGGCAAGGCAAGATGTATACACTTTCCATTCTGAATGATAATTTTAGTATGAGCCCACTAGCACTTCAAAGCTAGGCACTCGATGCCTATCTTCCTCTGTTGCCCTCGTGTGTTTACCCTAACTGCAGTAAATCTCATCCTGTTAAAGAACTTGAGGCACACTGTCACCAGAAACAGAAACTATTTGTTGTTTATAGTGAGGTTTAAGTTGGAATTAGAGAAGGCATCTGGTAAAGGCCCTAATGATAGGCTATTAAACTCCAGGGGAGTGGTGAGGGTCTTCTGGGTACCAAGGAAAAAGCTCTAGGCACTGTGGCTCCGCCTTAGCAAGGAACTCGATTCTACACTCTGCAATTAAAGTCCCCTCCAGTAATCAGGAAAGAGAGGTCTCCAGGCTGAGGTAAAAGTAAGACTTTCACTGGGTGCCTTGAAGGTGGGATTTCAAAGGCAGGTGCATGTTCTAAGTGTACAACCCCAGCTACTCAGGAAGGCCAAGGCAGGAAGATCATGAGGTCAAGATCAGCTTGGGCTACAAAGCAAGATAGGGTTTAAAAACAAGGTGGCAGAATTTTTATTGGCTCTAGAACAGAAGGTCCAGATGGGAGGGCAGGGGACACAGCTGTGTTCCTGAGACAGCCAGGGACAAAAGTATAAGGCTGAGGACAAAGGAGCTGGATGAAGATGCGGGTTCTAGACTAAGGTCTTTGGAGACCTCTTCCCATCAGGAACTCAGGTTATCCTGTGGTGACCTGAACATGAACACATTCTTACAATTGCTTCATGGTGTCTGCAGCAGGCCACTGAGGCACACAACGGTGGCAGTTTTTGGTCTAGGAAAGCCAAAGGGACTCAGGAGGTTGAGGTAGCTAGGTAGCTAGCTTAAGACCAAGAGCAAGGGAGCCTGCTGGTGGGTGCACCCTGCCAGAGATACCTGCACACCAGGCAGCCAGAGACCCCGTTACCATGCACCCAGGTCTGAGGTCATTTGGCAGATCTGGCTCTGCTCCTTGTGGTGTCATCTGTGGCAAAAAAACATAATCTCAGCATTTGGGAAGCAGAGGCAGGAGGATCCGGAATGCAAGGCCACCCTGACTATAAGTAAGTCCAAGTCTTTGATGCAAGATTCTTTCTGTCTCAAAAAAACAAACGAAACCCCCCCCCCCCAAAAGAAAAAAACAATCCAGAACCCCAAAGACTAAGGCAACAGGTATACACAGGGTTCTGTGTTAGGCCCCAATCCATGGACTTAAACCATGTCCTCCTAAAACATGAGTGGGTGCCCAGAGAAAAGGCACTCAACACCACCCAAGTGTGGAAGGTAAAGATAGGGGGAATGAAGAGCAAAGACAAATAATTAAAACCAAGAGGAAAAAAGTCATTGAGAATCTCCTGAATATGACAGGAGACACAGTAATGGCTGAAGCTGGCTGGAGAAGCCCAAGGCAGCACTAACATCCCATGAAAGGACAGAGATGATGGGGTGACAGGGGAGGGGAGGTAGCTGGACAGAGGCTGAGTGGGAGACTGCTTAGCAAATGTGATGACCTGGACCCCATCTCCAGAAAGAGAAAAAGCAGCTGCTAGTATGTTGTCTCTCACGGCAGCTACTCACTACACATAAACACCATGCACAGCAGACACCCAATCAGCAGTCAGGACACTCAGGGCTGGACTGCTTCGTGGCTTTGTCTGCTGCTCTTGAAGAATCTTAAGAGTTGGCCTGATATGCACACACTGAGGGGTATGACAACTTGCGTCTTTTTGTTGGGAAGCAAGGGTCTCTCACAACAGTCCACAAGGAACCGTGAGCCTCCAGTGCAGTTGAATGCTGTGGGCTTCTTATACGCTGGCCAGATGTTGACAATTTCTGCAAACTCTGGAATTGAGAGTCTGGATTAAATTTTCTCAAGTCCTCTGTCTGACTAGGAATAGTTGCTCTAGCTTTCATTGGAGATACTTTGACACATGAGGTCACCTTCACCTGCTGGGGTGACATCAGGCAATACTTCTGATAAAGTATGTCAAATTCTTTTTTAATCTCATCATAGCGATTCCTTCCACAGCTCTGAGGGCCCATCCACGGTGCTGAAATTGCAGTACCGAGCGACGCTGCCATTTTGATTGGCCCAGATTTGTATTCCTGAAGAAAAAGGCCAGACATCTGTTGACAATGGCCTGGCTTTTGTGAGGTGCTGTCCTCTGACAGTTTTGGAAAGGGATCACTCCTTTGGAGACATCTATCTGCTTTGACAGACATTTCACTTTGGTCTTCAAAAGCCTCACTTAACCTCTTTGCCTTTTCTCTGTTAAAAGGTAAACTCAGCCTGTGTGTTTCTATTCCCTGGGGAATGCCTGGGCTTACAGAACCACCTTTGTACATGTCTACAGCCCAGGACTCTGTGGGGTCAGCCAGCCAAAGCGGTTTCCTAGAAGACAAACAACATTCCTGATGAAGCTGGTCAAATTTGATTTCAATCTCCCTACGCTGCTTCTCTGCTAGACTTGGAATCATCCTTGGTCTGGGAACTATTTTAACAGGTGAAATGAGCCACTGTAAGGCTTTCACTCTATTCTCTCGCTCAAGTAGGTATGTTGTATTTACATCTAAAGACTTCTGAGGCATCTCTTGGAGATCCTTCCAATCTGGTCTGAATTTATGGACTTGGAGTTTGCTTCCTTCCAGAGAAACCCTTCCCGGTTTCAAGCCTTTCTTATGGGGAGCAATATGCAGTAAATTCTTGCAGTCTCTCAATATTCTGGCCTCTTTCCATGGCTCTGAGCAGGGCACTGGCCTCCTCTTGGAGCTCTTCCTGAAGGGCTTGCGCCAGTGACAGTATGTCTTGTTCTTGTGCACCTCGCCTTTACGGTAGAGCCTCCTCCCGAGGCTCCAGTTCTGGTTGATGTGGGTCTTGGTGGAGATTATGCACGATGGCTTTGAGCTCAACAGCCTACTCATCGAATGCATCATGCCTTCATACAGATCACTGATTGTCACATTGTAAGGGTCATCAATGTCAAAGGACTGGTTGCTTAAGCTGTTGCTGCTGGTCCCTAGTAAGAAGCTGTCATTTCTAGGCACAACAGTCATGTCAGCTGGGCAAGGGTATGAGGAACCCTGGTCTCCGGAGGACGAAGCTGATGTGTTAGGATCACCAAAGCTCTTTTCGGAGATAGTCTCTAGTAAGAAGCTGTCATTTCTAGGCACAACAGTCATGTCAGCTGGGCAAGGGTATGAGGAACCCTGGTCTCCGGAGGACGAAGCTGATGCGTTAGGACCACCAAAGCTCTTTTCGGAGATAGTATCCTGGCATCCTGGGAGAAAAATAGACAAAGTCAAGGTAAAGCATGACTCAATCCATCTACAGGTAACCCCATGTCAGAGAGCTCAAGGGGGAACTGTAAGCATTACAGATTAAAACAGCACAAACAAAATAAAACCCCAGAAATGTTAAGGAGTAGACTCTTCTTGGAAGACTTTATTTTGGCAATCAGAATTAGATTTCTACTCTTCACCACAGTTTTGCAAAAGGAGTCTTCTCTCCCTCACACTGTTTCAAGATGGCTGCTGGCTCAAAAACCAATACATACAGAGATGAAAACTTTAAAAAATTGATGAGAACAAAAAATTCTACCAACACTAACATTTCAGTAAGAAATGCCAACAAACGGGACTGAAGAGATGACTAAGTACTTAAGAGCACTGGCTGCTCTTCCAGAGCACTAGAGTTCAGTCCCCAGCACCCATATTAGGCAACTGACAAATGGCTTTAACGCCAGCTCCAGGGGAATCTGATACCCTCTGCTGGCCTCAGTGGTCTGTGGTAATGAACACACACACATAAACACATGCACGCACTCAAGGAAAACGCCAGTAAGTAACTCCACACCCCTGATCTCTAGAGGGGTGGGTGGGAAGACATGTTCCTGTGCATTGTGCAGCTATGACTTCTGTATCACATGAGTAGTTCATGGATTTTAAAAGGTAAAATCAAACCTGCAGAAACAGGAAAAGCCCAACTGGAACACTCAAGAAGGTGATTCCATGAAATATAACACTGAAGGCAACTCAAGGAACTGCTAAATGCAGAGGATGCCACCTGGGTGGGTCTACTATTGAGAGGACAAAAAAGGTTACAAAGGACACTGTGGGTTAATTAGTAAAATTGTATCATGCCAATGAGAAGTTTCTGGCACATTCTAAACTTGCTATACACATGGAGAACCACCCAGTTCTTAGTAAGTACACATGAAATGTTCAGGAATGCTACAAATAAATATATACTGCTTGTGTGCATACATATGAACCAGGGAGCTATAGTGAAAGAGCAATGATGAACGATGCTACCTGTCACACACAAGACAAATAGCCACTCTTTACTCCCATCCTGCTAGAATCAACACGTTCAAACTGGCGAGGGCTAAGACATATCTAGCAAAGGGCATCATGACTACAGGAGGAAAATCAGCTCATTAAGAAAATCCTCAGGATTGCCTGGGCTACCCTGAGACTATACTGAAGCACAAGTGGTACCAAGGGTCCCAAGTCTCCAAAGATGAAAGACATAGTTCATGTAAAATTACTCCTTCATACTCACCAGGAGCTGGTGTGACAGGTGAGGTCAGGGAAAGACTCCAAGTCACAGCTTTGTCTTTTCGGTCTCCCTTCTCTGCGTTCTGAAATCATAGCCAGTGGTCATAAAAGTTTTGGAGCTGGGTTCTCCCTAAAAATACACTGTCCTTGGGTGATGTCAGTTACTCCCACTTCAAAACAAGTGTGCACCATAACAAGAGAGTGACTGGTCAATCTTCAAACCACAGAGAAGGGGTGACCTAAAACATCTGAGAACTCTGCCCATGAGGCCACAGCCCCCTCTTGGCAACTACTCCCTGCCCAGCCATCGGTGGCTCTTGTCTACCATTACACTGGGATTAGTCAGAATGTCTAGAGGACTTGTGGGGCCAGATAAACTTGGGCCTAATTCCAACCCTTTCCTCTGATTAAGTAATGGCCAGGACACTCCCTGCTGTGCACTCCTAAGACAGTAATCAAGGGATCCCCAAACACAGGCTTCAGCTTGCCATCAGTGCAGTGAATACGGACTCCATGGAAACTTGCAGCCACCATGAGGGGAGGAAATGCTTGTTACCTGACACTACTATTTAGGCACTTGCCATCCGGGTATTAGGATGTCCTTTCTTCTAGGAAAGAGGCTGACAGAACCAGGGAAACCTGCAGTGTCATCTTCAGAGGCCCCTCCAACTCTAGCTGTCCTAAGTTAGTGTTAGCTATCCACTGGACACAGCCCATAATCACCCAGAGTCTCAATTGAGTAGCAGTCTTTATCAGGTGGTTTGTGGGCATGTCTATGAGGGACTGTTTTGATTACTAACTGGTGAAGGAGGGCCCAAACCACTGTGGGTAAACATCCTCTTGCAGGGTAGTCCTGGGCTATATAAGAAAAAAGCTTTGAGAAAGCACTGCAGTGAAGGAGAGGATACCTGTGCTGGGAGAGAGGCTGTCCCTGCAGTCTTCCTCCTGCCTCTTTTCCACCTCAGACCTTGTGTAGCAGGTTGGGGACAGGAGAGAAGGCCCCACCAGGGAAGGTGTGAGGTGCTAATTCCTCAACTGTGCAGCTAAAAGCTGGAGGTGCTCTTGGGGCTCCACTGGGCTTGAGCTAGCCCGGGACAATGAACATGTCAACCCCAGTATCACGCCTACCTCCTGAGTTTTTCAGCTGCGCATAGGGCCCTGGGCTGTTCACTAAAGAACAGAAAAAAGCCTGATAGCAAATGAAAAGTGTGGAAGTAATTACTTACAGGCTCTGAGGACAGCACACACAGAATCCTTACTGCACCCCAATTTGTTTTTAATGCCTGGTCAAGTCTTATCAACACACACACACACACACACACACACACACACACACACACACACACAAAAACAGGTTACCTTAAAATACTCTGCACCTTGAAGCAGTATATCCAAATCTAAGCTTGTCTCTGCATTGCTGCTTTCTGAATCTAGAAGTAGAGAAAATTTCAATGCATGAAGCATCTCATAGGTATTTTTGTATTGAGATATGTCTACAATAAAGATTCCTGTGGGTTCAAGAATGTTCTCCTGGGGTTGGAAGATGGCACAGGGGTTAAGAGAGTTTACTGCTCTTCCAAAGGACCTGAGTTCAGTTGGCAGCACTCACATTGGCTAGCTCACAACCACCTGTAATTCTAGCTTCAGGGGAAGCTGATGACTCTTATACATAATTTAAATAAAATAAATCTTCAGAAAAAGAAAAAATGCTCCCCTTGTGCCTATGATTGCCAGTAGCCTAGAACCCCTGAGTAGGAAGATACCCGACTAGGCAGCAGGAGCAACAGATTCTCCAATTCAGTGACCTCTGATCTGAGGCACTGTGACCCTCACCCAGCAGACTGAACTCCCAGGACAATGGGAGTCTCCACCCACTGCTCACCAGCCAGGTGCTGGGCCACTGGACATGAAATGTGGCTAGTTGAGCTAAGCGAGCCTTTGACCTACAATTCACTGAATTCATGGCCCCAACACACATGCAGCGCTCAAGGAATCATTCTGGATAGCTTCAAGCAGTGGGGGAGGCACAGGCCTAAGTGTTTGTGGAGTTAGGATCTGGGTTAACACCAGTAAGTCTTCTCACTGCTTTCACTTGGGGCAAGAAAAATTGTCCCTCCCAACCCCCTTTTTGTGACATGGACTCACTATGTAGCTTTGGCTGGCCTAGAACTTGCTGTATAGACCTAAGTCAGCCTTGAATGGATAGAGTTTCACCTGTCTTTGCCTTGCAAGTGCTTAGATTAAAGATGTGCACTGCCTTGCTGGGCTCCAGAGGAAGTTCCAAGGATAAGCTGTGGCCAGAATGAACCAGGTTAGGAATGCGTGGGCAGTGGGAAACCATGGTGCCAAGGGGCAACACCTTTCTGTAATTTGGCTAAATGTTGACATAAGTGGGCAAGACATGGCTCCCCATCTTCCAAGGACCCGGAAGAACATACCAGGGCACTTTATAACTTATGCTTTTAAAAATTAACAATCTAGATAAAACATTAACAGTGAGGACCTCTCTACATTGCTAAGGTGGGGACAAGCAGCCTTGACCCTTTTTTAGCCTTTAGCCTCCTTTTTTAACATGGCAACACTCACCGGCTCCCGGGACTTGTGTGCAGGGCTGTAAACACTCACTGCCTTCTGGAGCTTGCCCATTTAAACTGCCAATCACCTTCACGGAAGGGTCCTTAGGGTATAAAAATCAAGACACACAAGCTTGATTAAATAATATCACATTTCTATGCACTGTGTATCAAAACATTCACAATCCTTGTAGGGCACACAAGACAATAGGAAGCTTTGCAATTATCTTCCTGTGCATGCTTAATAAAGGGCCTCAAGACTCCCAGAAGTCAGTGGAGAATTCCACTGGTCCTGGAGAGAATGCAGTATTCAGAGTACCACAGGGATGACCTGGGACTTACATGCATTATAGTGTTTATGGCCACAGCAGGCTTCTGCAGTTCCTGTTGGGTGGAACCAGGGGTCCCTCTCCCAGGGAGGTCACTCCTGCTTCCTAAAGCCTGTGCTCACCAGGCTCCACTAAGGCACCAACAAGTTCTTATTAGTAAAGTGCCAGTATTCGACACAGAACACTGGCTGCACAATTTTAGAAGCCAGCACGGTGAGCAATGTCCTTTCAGGTGCTAGCTCCATGGGCTCAGGAACTTGAGGGGGCCACGCAACACCAAACTAATACAATCCTGGCTCCTGGACGCCACTGCAAGCTGAGACCTCAAAGCTCTCAGCTTAAGTTTTGTGGCTTCCAGTGTCTGAAGGACAGAACTTTTGACACACATGGAAGTAGACAGCCCCCAGCTACCTCCTACTGTTTGTTTGGCCCCTGAAAAGAGCCCACAACAAACCACCCAAGGTAATACAGAGTCCATCCTCACCTACTGTCTCCCACAGTCCTTAGAATGGCAATCTTGGGAGCAGCATAAATACTCATCTTTGGGAGAAATCACCAATAATAAACCCTAGTAACACTGTGGGGGTCCTCAGTTGTAACTACAGGCTATGCATGCCCACTTTTCTAGTCCTAAGAATAGCGCCAACATTTCTACAGACCACAGGCAGAGGGCCTCCTTCATTTTAAACAAAAAAACCTTAAATAAATATTTTTTGCTACCAGGACTAACCGTTCTAGCACTGGGCTGTCAGCAGTTTAAAAACAGCAGCAGCAGCAACAACAACAAAACAAAAAACCCAAATGACAACTATGGAACATGGCTGTAATTCTAGCACTCTAAGAGGCTAAAACAGTACTCATGAGTTTGAGGCCAGCCTGGGCTACACAGAGTTCCAGGTTAGTTTGGGCAACAGTGTGAGACCCTGCCTCAAAAATCCAGATAGGTAAATAGATTATAAAATAGTGAAGGGAAAGACAAGAGTTCCCTTATGTCTTAACTAGAAGGGGTCAGAGGTGCATTTACAGATAGGAACTAAAACGGCACCCGTGATTACGCGGCACAGGAGTCAGGCTAGCCTAAGTGTTCCAGCCCTCCCACAGCTATGATGATTAACCAAGGAAGCTTAATTTCAGAATTGCTACTAATGCTGTATAACCTTAATCTTGACGTTCTACTCTGGGTAACAGGTTTCCCAGGAAACATGGTTGCCTGAGACTCAGTTAGACCAGACAGCCTTACACTAATTACCAGAGCAAAGGGTCACGCAGTTTCACAGCAAGAAGGCAAACTGTGTTGATCCAGGAAAACAGTATCAGATCACTAGCTGTAAAGCCCTGGCTCCAGGAGACCCTATTTCTAGAGGCAAAGGAAGAAGGGTGTGTGATTCTTCCTCTTCATGCTTTCTGGTTACAGAAGAGGAGAAGAAGCACTGCTTTTTCTCAAAGGAAATGAGCTCCAAACAAAGTAGCTCCCTAGTACTTTGGCCTGCAGGTCTCTAAGCTGGTCCAGCATCTACAAACAAGCCTGTTGTTAGGACTAAGATGAAGAAATGTAGTATACAAGAGCCAGGTGATGGAAAAAAAACACTTCTCTGTGACTCTCCAAACAGGAGGAGAAAAGGCAGAGAAGGAGATCAATGGCCCTGAGGTGGCCTCCTGCAGCTCTCAGAGCACTGGCATCAAGGCTTACCAACACTGGGATTCGGTCACATCAACACACCACAGGAATGCATTACAGCAGTAACTAGACAGGAAATACCTGAGTTTGTTCCTTGTTTCTTTCCTTTATCAGCTTTCCTCCCCAAATTCTCAATCCTAAAGAAACAAAGATGACAATTGAAGTAATCTGAAATGCTCATTTTCTACTCAAAATGTACTGACAAAAACCAAACTGAATGTCACAAAAGGCATACACTAAAAGTAATCCAGGTTTTGACAGTGCTGCTGCTCAACTTTGTGAAGGAGAATTTTTTTTTTAAACCAAGATTGGACAAACTTGTCATTAATGGCCATCTCTCCTACCAAGAACAGAGCACCTTACCCAGTCCCACCACTAACATGAAAGGCTAAGGACAACTTATATTACAAATATATACTATTTTACATATAGATAATATATGCATTTATGGGGCATATATATCATACATTTACGGAGCAAGCATTTTTATAGGGCACTATCTGCACTTCATCCTGGGAGTCAGTGCTTTCCTAGGGCAGTCCAGTAGCACAGTACAAAGAAGTCCATGTACACATTTCTGGAGATCAAGTGCAGCAGCCCTGCCACTCAGGAGCTAGCAGAACTTGTGCAAAATACTCGGTCCTTTTAAATCTCCCAGGAAAATACAAGTTACTTAGAAAAAATGGTGGGTTTTGAGATTTGAGATATTTGCCTTAGAACAGAAGGAAAAAAACTTTACACAGCGCCCTCTGTGTCCCAGATCTTACTAAGGACACATCACTTAGTACTCACAACCCATATGCATGTGACTCCTGCACCTCCCTAAAAGCCCATGGGACAAAGACTTAACTTGTTTACTGTACCGACATGCACGCAAAGGATCAGGAATGTTCAGATGACCAGACCTGGCTCTGCACATGCAGTGAAGCCAGAGTGTGAATTCTGGGAGGTTTGACTGCACCTGAGCACTGTTCAACACAGCCTCTCCAGAAGATAGCAATGCTTGATTGTATGGACTCAGAGTCAAATCAAGGCTTTGCTACTCCGGCTGAGCGGCTCTCTCAGTGGGATCTACACTTAACTGCAACGGTTTTTAAAAAGCGCTTACACTGCAGGTTTGAAACTGAACTCTACAGCGCCCCCAAGTGCAAGCACAGATGAACTGTTATTACACCAGAGCAATTCCTTCCCTGCTCTCTACCACAATCGGCACAGGAGTAGCTCTGCCCTACTCCACGCCTGAATTCAGGAGTTCACACTATTGTCCAGGGAAGGTAAGCAGCATCTGAGGAAAGGCCATGCCAAAAACTATCACTCAGAATCAGTAACAGGAGAGAGATTTGTGGCAAGAATCCAAGCTACCAGCTTGCCAGGACACAGAGCTATTAAATGACAAATGCAACCATAGGTATCTGTGCTGGCCAGTTCCCAGGAAGGGCGACCATATGACAACCTGCCATGGTCTCAAACTCTTCAGATATTTCACTGTTGTTCTTATAAAACAGACACAGGTTTTTACCGACAAAATGAGTGTTATTCAAAATAGATGGGCTGTCCAAAACATTCCAGACACCCTTTCATGAACAACCACAAGAACGAAGAGAAGACTACAGACTGGACCCACCCAGATCCCACCCAGAGCAAAAGCAACATATTGCAGTATTATTTCAGTTTCTGCCTGTGTAAAATTTCCACCCAACAAGTGCCTTGAACAGTCAAAAAGGATCAAGGGCAAAGACTGCATTTGTCAAAGACTGTGGTCTGAAATCAGATTTTATCAGTAACTGAAGACAAGCGTCAGGGATGCATCTTAGAGAACGAACTGATCTTATCAAATACAAACATACCCCAGTCAGAATCTATGAGGTTAAAGGCAGTCCACAACATTAAATAAAATGGCTACTGGAAGGCAGAAAAAGAGATGCGTCCAAGTTACGCAGCACAGCGCGAGAGAATGGAGCTGGAGGCTGTTCCAATGGCTTGACAGGCACTCCAGGGACCGTTAGCACACCCACAGGGAATCCTCATGGTTGTCATAAGGAGAACGCCCTTATTCTACTGTACCGCTAAGCAATTAGCTCGGGCTTCCACGACAGGCATTTTAAAGACCAGGCTGCATCTGTGTCTCCAGGCATTCCGTTTAGAGAAATGACTCGGAAATCAGCAATTCACGGATGCAAGGTCCTACGAGTGAGGGGAACGAGTGCCACACTGCAAATTCTAGACCCCGCTACTCCAGCACACTGCCAACAGGAAGAGGGCTCCGTACCCTGAGGAGTCTCGTAGGTCAGCGTGGCAAGATCCACCAGCGGGTCGTCCTCAAAGGGCTGGTTGTACTGCGGGGAAGGAGAGTCAGGTCAGACCCCAGGGCGCTGGATTCCCCGCCCGCCGCCTCCTCCCCGCCTCGGCCAGCCCAGCCCACCTTCGCTATCAGCCGCTGCATGTGCGTCTGAAAGCGGCTACGGCTTTCCTTGAGTTTCTGCAGCAGCCGGCGACCCTGCAAACCCTCACAGTCCATGGCGAGCGCCGCTCACTCTCCCACCGCGATTCCGCCCACGCCAGCGCTCAGCTCAAACCTGGCGCTCCCTGCGCTGATAGGGCCTTTCAAAAGCATATACGCAACCGACCCCGCCCGAGTTTCCGGCCGCCTCTCCTCCCAGGGAGCGCTTCCGGCGGAAACCAGGGTGGCAAGGCCGCCGGAGCGGGGAGGACATGCGCATTACTTCTCTATGCCGCACTCCCGCGGCCCCTAGAGGCGTCTGGGAGAATTGCCTGGGTTCTTGTCCCGCTCAGGGCTCCTGCCTGGACCGCGAAAAGCTACCAAGTTTTCAGTTTGGGAAGGACTGGAAGAGGGAACCAAATAACCGCCCTGAAAGGAGTCGGGGAGAAAGCAGTGTTCATAAATCCCAACACAAGATATGTTTAAGTGCGATGGCCGACTTTATAAACGTGACAGAATCTGTGATTTTTATCCCAGGGTTTTAACTTTCTCTCCCATTTCTGATTATATACTGTTTCTTGATTGATATCAGTCTTGTTCCTTAAGGGGCTAGATGATTCGGTCCTCCATTTTATAAGGGCCTTTACGTTGATTGACATTTTAGAAAAATTTCAGGTAAGTTTTTTGGGTTTTGTCTTCTTGCTGAGCTGCGGGACCGACCCCCAGGTTAGGGTGGGTTTACTTCGGCTTCATAACAGCTGCATTTGTGTGCTTGTGTTAGTGTGATTATCACAATAGGGGTGATAATGGAATCTTTACTGGGTACCAGGAGGTCTCTTAAGCCCCCCCCCCCCGTCTTGCCTGCCCTTTGATCTTTTTTTTTTTTTTTTTTTTTTTTTCGCTGTCCTGTTGAAACCGGGGAATAGATAGTGGATGTCCATCCAGTGTATTTGCAACAGGCACAGAGAGATGCTATCAAGTTCTGTTCAAGATGCTCAGCTCCTGGGAGGGTTGCAAGTCGTCAGACTCTCTTGGGATTGTTCACTGGATGGAGGCCGGCCCATCCAACATGTCCCTACCCCAGCATGTGGGGATGTGAAGGCTGCTATGAAGCAATAGGGGGTGGGGGGTGTCTCCTGTCTCCTGAGTGCCTCCAAGCCTTTTCCATTCTGATGGGCTGAATTTCTCAGAACTGAAAGCTAAAATAAAGTGTCCCTTCCTTAACTTGCTTTTTGTTAGGTATTTTAGCACAGCAATAAGAAAAATATTCAAGACGCTGTCAATTTACAGATAATTTTGATTCCAAATAGAACATTCACATCCACTCTATTGGAAAGAGGTATAAACAGCTCATCAGAGTATCTTTAGCTACATAGGTGGAGATGGTTTCAGAGTGCTGATCAGTCATAGAGAAGATTCAGTCAAAGCAGTTACATATATGAAACAGAACAGATGATAATTTGGCCCAATATTATTATATTAGTGAAGACATATACAATTCAAGGATCTTGCTATATTTTATTAATAAAATTGTTTTAAAATAATTAATGCTATTTCTAAACCATATATTACTAGTTATTAAAATAGTTTTCAAATATGGTGATGTGAATATTTGTCATGAAAGTTAAATATTAAATATATACTTATTGTCTTAGTCACTATTCTGTTGCTGTGAAGAGACACCATGGCCAAGGCAACTCATATAAAAGAAAGCATTTAATGGGGAGTTTGTTTACAGTTTCAGAGGTTAGTCAGACATGGTGCTGGAAAGGCTGCTGAGAGTTCTACATCCTGATCTGTAGGCAAAGGAGAGGGAAAGGAAGGGGGAGGAGGGACATGCGGGGGAGGAGGAAGGAAAGGGAGAGGGAGGGAGGGAAGGAGGGAAGGAGGAGAAGAGAGAAAGAGAGGGAGAGAGAGTCTTAGGGGCTGGGGGTCCATGAGCATGGCTGAGGCCACTGGGCTCATGGCGGTAAAGCAGAAGACAAGGAGTGGATCCCTGTTGCCAAGCTGGGCCGCCTGGTTAAGGACGTGAAGACAAAGTCCTTGGAGGAGATCTACCTGTTCTCCCTGCCCATTAAGGAATCTGAGATTATTGACTTTTTTCTGGGTACATCCCTAAAGGATGAAGTTCTAAAACTCATGCCAGTGCAGAAGCAAACATGGGCTGGCCAGCAGACCAGGTTCAAGGCTTTTGTTCCTACTGGGGACTACAATGGTCACGTTGGTCTTGGAGGTAGCCACTGCCATCCGAGGAGCCATCATCTTGGCTAAGCTTTCCATCGTCCCTCTGTGGAGAGGCTATTTGGGCAACAAGATTGGCAAGCCCCACACTACTCCGTGCAAGGTGACAGGCCACTGTGACTCTGTTTTGGTTCACTGCATCCCTGCCCCCAGAGGCACTGGCATCATCTCTGCTCCTGTGCCCAAGAAGCTACTGATGATGGCCAGTACTGATGACTGCTACACATTAGCCAGGGGCTGCACTGCCACCCTGGGCAACTTTGTCAAGGCCACCTTTCATGCCATCTCCAAGACCTACAGCTACCTGGCCCCTGACCTCTGGAAAGAGACTGTGTTCACCAAGTCTCCTTATCATGAATTCACTGATCATCTTGTGAAAACCCACACCAGAGTCTCTGTTCAGAGGACCAAGGCTCTAGCTGTGGCTACCACGTAAGGGTTTTTATAAAATAATAATAATAATAACAATAAATAAATAAAGTGAATTAAATCTGAAAAAAAAAACCCTTTAGAAAATGTATATTGTTAAAGGAATGGTAGAGGCCACAAAAGGTCAAACTTTCAGTGCAAGGGTTTTTCTTGCACTCATCAGGGCACTCGGACAAAGGGTAGGATGGCAGGAGAAGAGATAACATTTCTGTAGACTGTTGGTCTTATTGCCTGCACTTGGAAGATAACTGGAGACAGGGAACATCTGTCCTAAATCACTACTGACTTAATTGCTGGTACCTGGACTTTTGTCTCTGTTAATTTAAAACTTTATCGTATGGCCTTGCTAACTGCATACTGATTGGCTTTTGTAAACCAATTGCGTGCTCTGCCTGCCCAGCAAGAAAAATTGTATAAAATAAGAGGCATACACCCTCTCTCATGTTGTGGGTCAGTCTGTTTTGTGCCATGAATTTTGAGTCATCTGCATATAACATATATGTTTTCACAGTTTGACTGTACATCTCTAAAAAAAATCTTTCCAGGCTATATTCAGATCAATAATGGTGTAATGGAACATTTTTTAGTATTACTTTTCTTCAGCCACATTTTCCAGAGTGCGTGCCTGTTGTGCAAATATGAGCCTGTGTTATTCATGGAATAAAGAACACAGACAGACAATTACATGTTTTTCTCTTGGCTCTGGAAACTGAGACTCCTTTTATCCCATTGGGACACACGAGACTCCAGACACCCTAACCGTGCCTCCATGCAGCTGGGCCATGTCTTCTCCTCATGGCACCTCACCTCACAGCCTTCCTCAGGAGTGTGCCCCCACACGCTGGGAAAATGGGGCTAAGGCTTTGGTGATCCTTCTGCTTCACCTTATGTGGTGGGAAATTGCTTTTTATTTTTTCACCTTGGGCTTTTTGCAACACAAACACATTCTTAGGGTCACGATTAATGTGTTTTAATGGGCTACACATTTTAAAAATCAATGGAAGAATTTACATTAAAAATAGAACACAATTAGGTTGATTTGGGTGACCTATTTTTAATCAACCCCATTATTTATAGGTCTGAAAATTGTCATGGCATCTTTCTCTGGAGCATGCAAAGGCCAGCCCTTCTGGCATTATGTGTGATAGTTTCAAAACAGGAGGCATGGGGTTAATTGATAACTTGCTAAACTTCCTCTTCCTTTTTTATTTTCTAAGATCAGGTTCACACCTTTTATTTTAGACCCTCAAAAAAACTGTTGTAGAAATGTTCTAGGTTTGCCCTCTCACCTCTTGCTTTAGCACTGCACTGCAGCTCTTTCTTCCTCCCATGGTGCATTGGGGTATTCTAGATTCATTTCTCTTGATGTGGTAAGCAATTCTGACCTGAAAGCAACTTGGGAGGGAAAGGGTTCATTTTAGCCTACAATTTATGGCAACAGTCTCTCACCAAGGGAAGTCAGGACAGAATCTCAAGGCAGAACCTGGAGTAGAAACCACAGAAGAATGGTGCTTACTGGCTCCTTCTCTGGCTCCTATGTGGAGACAGAGGACAGTTTTGGGAAGGCAGTTCTTTCGTTCCACCGAGTGGGTTCTGAAGATTGGACTCAGATCATCTGGCTTTGTGGCAAGCACCTTTACCTGCTGAGCTATCTTGCTGGGATGAGTTATCTCATCCTTTATGGACGTTGTATCAGCTGTATTTTCTGTGATAAAATACCCTGCTAGAAGGAATTTAAGGAAGACAAAGTTTAATTTGACTTATGGTTCCAGAGGGCTAGAGTTCGTCATGGGGTGGGGGCATGGTGGCAGGAGCATGAGGCCGGGTGATCACATTTCCGTCCACATACAGGAAGGAGAGGAGGACGGGGGAGGGAGAGGGAGGGAATGGGAAAGGAGGGGAAAGAGAATGAGGGAGAGAGAAAGACAGGGAGGGAGGGGAGAAGAAGGAGGGGGGGAGGACAAGATAGTGGGCATGTAGCAGTCTACCCAACTACAGTTACACCATCTCATGAAAGTGTTCCAAAGAATACTTTAAGTGCTAAAAATATCTTGGGTAAAACTGGACCTGCCCTAAATTCCTATACAATATGACCCTGAGCTATACACTGTAACTGCCTGATTATTTAACTGTTATCGTGCTTTCTGTACATATCACAACTACGGGTTTGTTTGTTTGTTTGTTTTTTCCTTAAGAACTCAAACCAACTGGAGGTTGGGACTGCTTCCCACAAATCTGCTTGGGACAGTCTCACCTGTGATTAATAAAGACTCCATTCGACTAATTCAGGCCTCTTGACCCATAACAGGGCACACAGAGCTGTGGTAATTTGAGTAGGAATGCCCTCCCCATAGACTCATGTGCTTGAATGCTAATTCGTGGCCCATAGGGAATAGTGCTATTAGGAGGCGTGGCCTTGTTGGAGTAGGTGTGGCTTTGCTGGAGGAAGCACGT